AGGGTGATTATAGGTATCTTATGGAAAAGTTGTGGAGATTACATGTTAAGAGTCCATTGAGTTATTGGAGTACTGTATCTGGAAAATCCCTTTGCCATCTTTATCTACTTGGCGTAAGACATGACAGGCATTGTCCTCAGTTCTGAAATTGTTTCCTTTGTGATTGTACAACCACTGTCTACTTTAGACACTGCTCCCACCTTTCTGAGTTGTGGGCACTATTACAAGGTATTTCTGGTGTAAAGTGCCCCATTGAGGTGCTCCCCGGATAGACGACTGCTTACCTTTGACTATAAACTTCACAAGGTCACTGCGCTGCTCAGAGCCAACCCGGCCCTTAGCAGTACAGAAGTATGAGCCCGAATTGGTCACCACTGCAGGCTTGAAGAGTAAGGTACTCAAGGATGATACTTTGAGAGGTTCCTGGTTGTTGCTCTGTTCTTTGTACCAAGCATAATGGATGGGAGGAGAACCTTGCGCCTGGCATTGAAGGCTAATCCTCATCCCCTGGAAGACTGTGAAGCCATAGCCATTGCCAGTCGTCACTGTGGGCTTGGAGACAGAGACTGCAAAAGGCAGACAAGAGAAGAGCCTCTTGGAAATCACAAGAACAAGGGTACACAAATCTGTATCATATTCTGCTGGACATAGGAGTTTGCATATATGTGCAAAGGAAATCAAAGTGGGTTCCTGACTTGGGAGTGAATAAGGTAACAACAACAACAACAACAACACAACCAAACCTCACTGCCATTGAGTCATTTCTGACTCATAGCGACACCCATTGAGTTTCTGAGTCTGTAAATATTTATGGAAGTAGATGACTCCGTCTTCCTTCTGGGGATCAGCTGGTGGTCTTGAACGTCTGACCTTCCAGTAAGCAGTAAAATGCCTTAACCACGACACTACCAGAGCTCCTTTGAAGAAGGTAACAATGCAATGCAAATAAAAATAACTTTCTTTGGAGGATTAGGTACTATTTTGGATTATCTGGAATTTTGGATTATCAGGAGTTAAAAATCAACTGGCTTTTTAAAATAATGTAGTTTTAGGGGGTTCTAATAGAATTTCTGGGTAACCTGCAGCTTTCTATTACCAGGACCAGACATTTATAAAATTGTGAAGTCAACCAGGCTTTTCTTGGTTAACTCTTTCCTCTTTTCCCCCAGTGTTTCTCTGTCAGAATTTTCTACTATTCAATATCCTAATCAGATACATTCATTTTTATGAGTTTTAAGGCCCAGAGCTGAAGGAGGGCAACTCGGCTATGGGTGTTGGAATTTCTGGGACACATGGAGGAGTAGAGACTTGAAGACCAGGAGTCCTTCCTAATACTTCTTAAATCTTGCTGTGTTGCTGATGACCATTAGGATCCTCTGCCCATGCACCTGCTCCGATTACACTTGTAACTGAAGGGAGTCTATGCACAGGTAAACAAAGGGCTATGGATTTCTCAGGGCCTTCTAGGATTATAGATTTCTGTTGAGTCTTTGCTTATCAGTGTTTTTTTACCTCTCATAATGACTCACATTTTTGGACTCGGAGCTCAATGACCTTATCCCTCACCAACTGATTTCCATCAGGGGTTTGCCAGGTAACTTCACATGTGTAGTGGCTCCAGTCATCCATCTCAAGGGTATTCAGTTGGAGGGACACATTTCCTAGTACCTCATGATTCACATGTAGACGGCCTCGGTATTTTGCCTGCTGAATATGATCTCCAGAAGAGTCACGAAGGAAGATGGTGACTGGATCTGAACCACGTTGCACCAGCCACTTCACCAAGACTTGAGTGTAGCCTTGCAGGGGTTCATAGGTGCAGGGAATGTTTACATCCATTTTCCAGGGCCCTGTCACACTCTCTGGAGCTTCCAGAATAGGACGGCCTAAAGAGGAGGTGAGAGGAAGGAAGCAGACATAGATGGTACACCTACCTGGGACTTAAAGTGGCTGTCAGTGGCAGACCTTAAGAGCTTCTGAGAAACATCCTTAAATAACCCCTTCTCTTCCATAAGTTTCAGGGTCCCCCCCACACTTTTGTTTTCTGCCAGTCTTCTCATCAATCAAAACCAGTATTCCAAAGGAAAGGCCTTAACATTGTTTATCCCTTGTGAATTTTAAGTCCTTCTCACATCACTGCCTTGTTGTGAGGTGACCCTGGATAAGTCATGTCCCACCGAAAAGGACCCATTTTATTCATCTATAATGTGGAGAGTGTAGATGGGATGATCTCCCGAGATTTTGTCAAACTTGACATTCTCTACATCTTAGAAGGAGAAGAGAGAGTGAAATGAGCAGAAAGAATATTTGAAGCGGTTCAAATCCACCAGTCAATCCTCAGAAAGAAGGTTGGGCAATCTACTTCTGCAGTGATACTGCCTCGGAAACCCAAGGAGGGGTTGCTATGAGTTGGGTCCAACTCGATGGCAGTGAGTTTTTTGTAGTTTTTATTATGCATCAAGTGAAACTTACCATGTTTGTCTTGATTATTCCTACCTTAGAGAAGTGTTCAACCTAAATGGAGTCATTGCTAGCTTTAATAATGACATAAAGAAAAAAATGGCACATGAGAAGATAAGTCACCTGCTCCAAATAAAAAGATATTTGCACAAAAAGGGTTGAGGTACCAGGCAGAAGGGGATGTGGAGACTTCTGAAATGGCTGAGTTGTAAGAACTTTTAGAAACTACTCAGTTACATTCCTTTATGATACGTATTGGACAAGCTGAGGCCAAGAAAGAGAAAGGAGATGCCTACCCAAAGCAGGCACAGAGCTGGAGGTCTAAAATACAAGTCCTCATATATTATTACAATGCCTTGTTTTCTTTCTTAACCTATTAAGCCACCAGCTTAATAACAAAGAAAGGGGTCTTCCTTGTTGCATATGAGTACTTCAATAGAATGCATTCTAGGTCCCTTTTTGAAATTCCCTATTCCCACCATCACACAGAGGGTGAAATATTCTCATGTTCTCTTCCCCTCTATGCCTGGACTCTCTCCATTCCCTGAAATGCTTTCTGATTAGAGAATTAGCATAGGTAATATATGTTTATAAAATATTTAAAAATAAATAAAATTCATCTGTGAGAATTTCTTGTTATCATGATTATTTCAACATGTTTCTCAGATCCACAGGAAGAGATTAAAAACTGATTCTGGCCTCTAGGAGCTTTTAGCCATGAAACTACTACCCTACAGAACTCTCCAACTTACAAGACTCTTTGTGGTCAGCAAAGCCAGCCTCCTCACTGTACAAATGATATGGGCTGGGGGTACTGAGGTCTAGGGAGAATGAAGGTGTTACTGGCCATTCAGGATATCCTGAGCATTTGGTCTGTTGTATAAGGCCCTCCCTACTAAAAGAAGACTTCCTTCCAAGGATACAGGATTTCAAAGGTGGGAGGAAAATAAGACGTATGAGAGCACACACACAATTTAAATTTTAACATGGGAAAAATGTTTCCTTTAGCCCCATCACTGCCTATACAAATCCCAATTCAAACCAACAGATTTGGAGAAGACAGAGATGCAATGCTGAAACCTATTAAGGAATAAAAATATGTAGTTTTAGAAAGAATACTGTCTTTCAGAAGCACTGACTACTATGAATGCTGTGAACTGGGGCAAATTATGTTTCCTTTCAGATGACTTTCAGAGTATCTTCTGGTTCTGAAATTCTAGACATTAATGGATCACAGAGCCCCAGGATACAGTGGCCTAATCTAAGCCTTCCATGGAAAGCTGGATTCTTTCTGATCCCACAAAGGACTTCAAGATGACAACCATTCAGCTTCTCCTTCTAAGAAGATAAAGTAAGTGGGTATGCAACAAGAAACTCTTTCCCTCATCTTGGATCTCAGTTACTACCCAGGATTGGTTTCCTAAAGGGCCATCTCATTTCTTAACGGTGTAGATGAGGATGGGAAAGGACTCAATGAAATCATAGTCAGACCTCTTTTGTGATATGTGCCCAGCACTGAGATCCCACAAATAGCCTAGACAAAATGGATTATGTTTACAGATAAATGGGTTATCCCAGGAGGTTGCCAGAAACCAAGGTCTGTGAAGACCAATTTAAGGAGCTGAAGTTTACTTTGGAGAAGAAAAGTGTAAAGACAACATGATGTGTCCTCAGACATCTGAAAAGCTATCATAAGGAAAATGGGGCAGATATGTTCTCTACAGCTCCAAGGATCAGAAATAGAGCCAATGGATGAAAGCCACAGGGAGGCAGATTCAGTTCATCCTAAAGAAGAAGTTTCTAACAGTTAGAGCTAGCCTTGGATAGACTTAGATGTCTGGGGAAGCAGTGAACTCCTCATCACTGAAAGTGTGTAAAGAAATAATGCTTATAACAGTGAAACAGTGAAAGGTGACTATAAGTTACTTCTAAGTTCCCATGTAGCCCTTAGCATTCCTTTTTTGAGGATGTGTTTGTCTTAACAGGGATAAAAGCCTGTAATCACAAGGGTGAGGTCTAATTATAGAATTTTAGATGAAAAGCAGCAGATGGAGGAGGATTTGGGTGTTATTTGGAGCCTTCTTGATGTCCATGAGATGCAACAAGCACTAGAGAATCATGGAGATGTTTTCCATGACAGAATCCTTTTCAGTTCCCACCCAAACTTGCCTCTTGACTCCTTCAGCAGCCTTCAGATACCTCCTCTCTCTTCCCCAAAATGGAGAGAGCCTGTGGTATTTGTTGAGAATACCCACCTGCCCAGGAGGAATAGGCTTTCCTCAGTAGCATTTAATCCAACCCCCTCACCACTCCACCCATACCAGCAGTGACAACCAAGTGCCCATTTACTCCCTTACCATAACTGATCACTGTTAGGTCGCCCAGGAGAAGCAGGATCAGTAAGAGCCCCATCACAGCCAGAGCCACTTCTGTCCTTTCTTCCAGCCTCCTGCTGTTAAAGAGGCTCAAACTCTTGGTGGCTGCCAGTGTTTGTGTGTGCTCACTTCTCTTCCTTCTCTCTCTCTCTTTCTTAGACTCTCAGTCCTATGCACATTCCCCTTTCCCCTTCCTTCCCTATTTCAGCCCATGTCATGTGTCACTCTCCCCACTCCCCCACTCTCACCTTCCACCCTGCCTGGGGTTGGAGGTTTGAGGGTAAATGAAGCAATTCTTCCTGCTGATAGGATATTGACTTGACATTCCCTGGAATGAGTGGGGCTCTCTGGTCTTTGATCTTCTTGTTAGTATTTATTTTGTGTTCCCTCTGCAAGACCCAGAGGTTGGGGGCAACCTTAGGGCATCAATTCAGTATTTTTTTTTTTTTCTAACAGGTGGACCCAGGGAGAAGCAATCAGCTTTGCTGGACTATGCAATATTCAACAGTTCTACTGTTAACACATGCCTATTCAGCCTATACAAATCAGGGATGGGACACCTTTCGGCTTTAGAGTACAAAAGCTTAAGTGTGTAAAAGGCTTCGTGCAATTCAAAGTTTAACAACTGGCAAACCTATGGATAAGGCTTTTATGAGGAATATACCCCCTAACTCATGTTGAGCAAGCTCTTTGAAGTCACTTGAATTACTTATTCCAATAGCTCCACTTCTCTGGTGGTAAGGGAGTAGCTATCCACATTAATGCTCCCCCCATGTTTTTCATAAGGAATCTATCACTTACTTCCCTTAAATGAATGTTACCTGACAATGCTATACTGTGTTTGATTAAATTTACAGACCTCTGACCTACACAATAGTGACATTAAGCCCCCAGGAAAGCTCAATTGTCCTAAAAATCATTCCTCTTCACAGACCCCAGAGTGACTGTAGTTCTACCAGCAGTCTAATGTTTTAATTGGCACTGCCAATTCTCTACCAAGCTTTGAAAAGATAAGCACTCCCAAAAGAAGAAACACAACCAACAAATTCATACTATAATGTAAGTGACATAAAAACTTAGCTTATTTTTTGATTGAAGGGATATGAGAAGCCCTGGTCAGGACATTGTCCTGGAGACGGGGAGTGGGACTCCTAAGAGAAACATTTTCTCCGTAGAATGTTGCTTAAGAGTGATTAATGGATTATTTAGGGTTGTACAAGGAGACACCAGTGTTTCAGGCCAAGCTCTTTCCATATGTAAAGCCCCTCTGCCTCACAGGCCCAATCTCCAAAGTTCAATTTTCCCGTTTTTTGGTTACTTCATTCAGTCCACTTCACTGGAAGTTCTAGGCATTCTTTTCCATTTTGTCCTCACTTAGAATCCTGAACTTTGGAGGACCTCTCCTCCCTCCTTTACTCTCTCTCTTACTTTCTCTCTCTCTCCCCCTCTTTCCCTCCTCTATACAGTTTCTTCCTGTCTGATGATGATTGATGATGTCTTTTTTGAGCTTCACCTTGCCTCTTTTTAGCACCTACTGTATCTGAGAGTAAAGAAATTCTCTGGGGTCCATACATGGTACTTCTCTGAGAAAGACCTCAATGCTAACATGGACTCAGCAGCCCTGTTGGGCAAGAAAAGCATAGGGTGGAAATTCAGGAAGCCTGGAAACAAGCCTGTCTCCATGTCTACTTCATTCTGTGACCTTGGACAAGTCATATGTCTCTGAACATCAGATTCCTCATTTGTAATATAAACACAATTAAACTTGATGCTTGTAGATTTTCAGAATTTTTTAAAGATAAAACTACATTACACACAATAACAACTATGGCAATGATAGCTGCTTTTTAATCCTTTATCTTCCAGGCACTGTACTAAGCACTTTGCACAGATTATTTCATTTAGTTCTTATAACATCTCAGATAAGTATTATTGTACTTATTTCTGTCCCTCTCCCTGTCACTCTGTACTCTCTTACAGAGTTTTTGTTTGTTTGTTTGTTTTCCCTTTGTAAAACTTACCACTATTTGACAGATTTTGCATTTACTGGTTTACTTGTTTGTTTTTTGGTCTGTCTCCCACACTAGAATTTAAGCCCCATGAGAGCAAGAAATTTTACATATCATATTCACTGTTATATCCCACGTGCCTAGAACACTGCCTGGAATATCATAGGCACTCAATAAATAAATAAATTATTGGATAAGTCCCCATTTAGCTGCCTAGATGAGATTCAATCCCACAACTGTGTATATCCAAAAATGATATTGTTAAGCAAGGCATTATTCTGTCTCCTTCATACCTTAAATGATCACTTACACAGTATTTACAGACCTCCTCTGGTTGCATAGTGCCTAAGGCATTGGACTGCTAACCACTCCTCAGAAGGAAGATTGGGCAATCTACTTCCATAGAGATACCGCCTCGGAAACCCAAGGAGGGATAACTATGAGTCAAATCAACTCAACCGCAGTGAGTTTACCTTGTTCTGGATGTCGTGGGAAAGAGAGAGAAGAAGTCACAGTTCCCGTTTTCACTGAGATTTTAGTAGAGATAGAATCAAGAGACACACATGGGACACTTGAATGGCAATACATATTTACACATCAACAGAGGTGGATTATAAATTAGGCTTTAAATCTTGGGGAACTAAAATGAAGATGAAGTTGATGAGGGCCATAGTAATTTGGGAAGTCTTTCCAGAGGAAGTTATACTGCAATTACCATTTATAGAACTCCTTCTCTGGGTTTGGCACATTAACCATAGATCTTCTTCTTATTGTTATTATGCATTGGGTGCAAATTTACAGAGCAGAATTTGCTTTATGTTCAACAGTTCATGTATATTTGGTTTCATTCCCCAGTTAGCATCCCCAAACCTGACCCATTCTCCTTCTCTACCTTCCCAGTGACCACCCCATCCCTGTGCCCTTTTTATGCACTACTGTCTGTCCAGCTTTTCCTCCATGTGAATGTTGCCCCTCTGGTGCTCCATGGCTGATTTCTCTAAGGGATGTATCTCCATAGTGTAGATGGGTACATCACCTTGGGTTGGGGGTTCTGCATGTAAGTCTTATTAGTGTTGGCCTGAGATCCAGTCCTTGGGAGTGAGTTTTATCCCAGGCCTGAAATGTATCCCAGGGCCATAGTCTTGGGGATTCCACCAGACTACATCTGATCAGTAATTCTGGTCATTATTGTATTTTTGTATTTTGTTCTACATTTTTCCTCCCACTCTATCAAGGATCTCCAGTTTTGATCCCTTCCTGAGTAGTTGACATTGATAGCTGGGCACCATCTAGTTCTTCTGGTCTTGAGGTCCATTATATCCTAGGGCTGATTGTTTCCAAATGCCCTTGGTTTTCCTCACACTTCTTCACTTCTGATGAAAGGAGACCATTAGCTGCATGTTAGATGCCCACTGGAAAGCTTTTAAGACCCCAGTCACTACTTACCAAAGTAGGTTGTGGAACAAGATTTTTATGTATTATGCTGTGCCAGTTGAGCCTGGTGTCCCCCAGTACTATGGTCCTGAGTTGGCAGATCCAGTGATTTTCTCTCTCTCAAGGTGTTTGGCTGTCTCTAAGGGATTGCTCCGTGTCTGTCTTCTCTTGCTTTTGTAATGATTGTGGTTATTCTGTATCACTAGTATCTGTGCAAGATTATCCTCAGATGAATCTATCATTGGTCTAGATTATATTCCTGTTCAGCAATCCTCATCTGATCTTCTCAGTTGTCTTTGTATTTATCTGTAGCTTGGTGTTTGGTGTTAATGGTAATGCAGTATTTTGCCTATACTGGTATTAGCCTCTGTCGTCTATATCTTATGTGCACAATTCAGTGTTCTCCCTCTCCCCAATGTATCATGGTGGTCACAGACTCTTTCCATACCATCCCTCCCCTTTCCCAACTCAGTGTGTGGCCTCCAACTTGACCAAAAATTTTCCCTCCCCTTCCTTCCTATCCTGGTAATCTACAAAGTGAATTCCCTTCCCTAAGAAAACCCTTCCTTGACTTTTTACAGTAATGGGCTCATACAATATTTGTCCTTCTGTGATTGACTTATTTCACTCAGCATAATGTTCTACAGGTTCACCCACATTGAGATGATTGGCATATTCTTCATTGTTCTTTAATGTAGCATAGTATTCCATTGTGTGTATGTACCATAATTTGGTTATCCATTCATCTGTTGATGGGCATCTAAGTTGTTTCCATCTCTTTGCTATAGTGAATGGTGCTGCAATAAACATGGGTGTGCATATGTCTCTTCGTGTCCTGTCTCTCACCTCTTTAGGATATATTTCTAGTAATTGAATTGCTGTTCAATTGGTATTTCTATTTTCAGTTTTTTTAAGGAAGTTCCATACCATTTTCCACGATGGTATTACCATTTGACAGTCCCACCAGCAGTGTTTGAGAGTTCTAATCTCTCCACAACCTTGCCAGCATTTGTTATTTCCTGTCCTGTTGAACTTTGCTATTATTGCTGGGGTGAGATGATATTTCACCATTGTTTTGATTGTATCTCTCTAACAATTGGTAATCATAAGCATTTCCTCCTCTGTTTGTTCGCCGGCAGCATATCATCTTTAGTGAAGTCTCTGTTCATGTCCCTTGCCCACTTTTGAACTGGATTGTTTTTCTATAAAGTTTTAATGTTATAAAATTTTCTATAAATTTTGGCAATAAGTCCTTTGTCAGGTATGTCATAGACAAATATTTTCTCCCAATCTGTAGGGTTCTTTTTTTTTTACCCTTTTGGAGGAGTCTTTCGATGTGCATAACAATTTGATTTTTAAAAGGTCCAAGTCATCTAGCTTCTCTTCCACCTCTTGTGGGTTCTGGGTTATTTACACCATCAATTAAGGCCCCTAGATTTGCCCCTATTTTTACCTTTGGTGAACTTTATAATTTAGGGTTTTATATTTAAGTCTTTGATGCAACTTGAGTTTGTTTTCATGTATGAGGTGAGGTATGGGTCTTGTTTCATTTTTATGCAAATGGATATCCAATTTTGTCAGCACCGGTTGCTAA